CCCCAATCACCAGCAGTGTCATAGCCCTGTGGAGAAAACTCATCTAGAGTGGCAGCTCTTCTTTTTTTCTCTGGAGTGGCCTCTCAGGGAGACCATGGGGAGTTTTGATCTCCTTGAAAATATGAAGCGGAGTGCCTAAGCCAGCTAGAAAACCCAAGGCTCACAGTGCAGAGGCGACCCACCGCCAAGCAGTTCCTCTAGTTGAGGCAAGACCCAGTGGGTTCCCCCTTTCTTCCATTACTCTTTTTCCTTCTCAGGCCTCTGGGAGAAGGTGCTGCATTGAAGGATGAGGGCAGAAGCCTGCCTGGCCTCTCTGGAACAGAGAAAGTCAGAGCTTTGAGCATCATGAACAACGGGATAAAAATAGCAGTGTTGCCATGGCAACGAAGGCTGGGGAGCGTCCTGAGGATCTGGCTGGGTCCTGCCATCTCCCCCTGCAGCCTTCCTCCCGCCTTTGCCTCTTGGATGGAACAGAGGAATGAGCTGAGGGAGGGGGGAAGGCTGCCCAAGAAGGGCAGGGAGACAGACCAGTACCCACGAAGAAACTCTTGAACTTCAGAGCCTGGAGTTGCTGTGTGAGAGCCGGGGCTGCCCAGTTTTGGGGGTTTCTGGCTTTTGGATATCCTTCCTCAGTATCACAAGTTCCTCTAGGGGTGCCCTGGGTAGCTCCCCAACCTCACCTTCCTGCTGGATGGTCCTGACCTCCTGGCTCCCCTGTGGATAGCCAGGGTTTCTGTTTCCTCTTCGTGATCTGTGGCTCTGATCCCACAGGACTGTACAGAAGGGAGCCCAGGCTGGACTGGCCACAACAGCCCGACCCAGTAGGCGCTGACTGGGGGGTGTGGTGTGGCGGATAGTGGGGGATAGAGGATTCACTCGGACCAGCCAGCCATCCCGATCCTAGATTGTTTAGCCACAGAGGCTGAGGGTGCTGTTTGCATTGGGAACAGGGTGAAGGTGATGACAGCTGCTCATGCTCTTGTTTTTGTGCCAGAGGGATGGAGCATTCATTCTTTGGGAACAGATTCTGGCTCTTGGTTCTGATGCTGTTGTCAGCCCCATCACCTGGGGCGCACAGCAGCTACCTTCAGGGTGAACACCAGGCTTTCTGGACCAGCCTACGAGGAGCCCGCCAGTGCAGCGGTGAGATTTCCTTCTCCGGTGGAAGCTCATCTTCATAGTTGTAAACCAAGTACTTGTCTCCAAAAGCACAAGCCACATCTAGGTGCCTCTGATACAAAGTGCCCTTGAGACCCATGCCTTCCTGTGAGGGAGGGAGGAAATGGGTCTTGTCACCACCTTTTACAGAGTCTGGGAGAGAGGAGGCAAGTTGCTGAGGTCAGGAGGCAGCCACGGCGGGCGCTGGGAACCTGGGGGCTGCCGCTCTCCATCCAGCCGTCAGCCCACCCCCCCACACGCACATCCCAGACCACTGGGCCAACTGCACATTCATTCAGGAGACAGGGCAGATGGCAGCCTGAGGATCCTTCCCCTTCCAGAAGGCAAGGCAACGAGGTGGGGTGGGTCAGGCAGCTGCCGCTGAGATCCCATCTCACCTGCAAGGGCTGGTGTGTGTGGGGGGGAGGAATGTGCGCGAGGGGGCACTTGGGGTGGCATCGACAGGCCTGGCTGTTGGAGGCAGGAGAGGCAGGACTACAAGGAGCGCTGGGGCAGGATTCCAGCGGAAGCTCTGGGAGCCTCGGCTTCCCTCTCACCGCCCCCAGCAGTTCTCGGATCTCCCGTATCGCTGCTGTCGCCCTGCCTACACACGTGTGGCATGCACGGAGCACCTGCAAGCTCTGCACTTCCACGGCAGCCCCGAGCCCCACTGAGGCTCAACGTCCCAGGGCCACAGGGCCCTGGCCTCTGGAGGGGGCTCTTTCGAGGACATTAGTGGAAAGAGACTGAGTCCCAGAAGTTAGACAGGATAGCGAGCCTCAAGTCACACTGTCATCAGTGTCTAAGCAGGGCTAGAACCCAGGAGATCCGGTTCCCAGCTCAATGCCCTTTGCGTCCCGCTGTGCTACCTCATGCATATTTCAGGTAAATGATTGCTTTTTTTATTTTTTTCAAAAATAACAATCTTCCTATATATTTCTATGGACTCCTGTGTGACATCCAGAAGGCCCTTCCCTGGGAATGGAGAAGGAAATGACATTCTAATTAAAATGCCCTGAGACAAGAACCCCTGAGGGCCAGACCCCCAGACAACATTAGAGGCACAAGAACCTCAAGCACCCCTCATATTTCTTTACCCCCCATTCGGTGGCCCACAGCACAAGAGGGGAGAACTGAGGCCCAGGTAGGCCAAGGCCTCCCACCCTCCTACAAGGACTCAGTGCCACACAGCCAGAATGAGAGGCCCGCCCCCTCCCAGAATCAACTCCTCTCTTGCCCCCTGCCTCCATCCAGGAGCTCCTGGCCCCCTCCTTGAGGTGAAGTCTGGGAGAGAACCATGGAGTGGAGAGAATTAGAAACAGGGAGGGCAACATTGTCCCACCTGTCCGCTGTGAAGGAGCCTCACGAAGGGCAGGAAACAAGGTGGCCAGACCTTGCCCCCCCAAAAGCAACAGAAGGAAGAGAAGCCTGGACTACAAGTCAGAGGCCTGGGGGGCATGGTCTGGGGACACTGGGGCTGCTTCTGCCTTTTTGGATTAAACCTCTTGCCTGGGCTCACCCAGGGGCAGAGAGCAGGGCACAGGCCTCCAGACTGGTTCTCGAGACGCTGAGAAGAGCAAAGTTGCCATTTCCCTGAGACGGAAGCCGAGGGACGGCAGAATGTGGGGTGTGTCTGGCTCAAAGTTGTTGCTGTCCTCCTACTCCCACATTTCAGCATGGGCCCCAGCTTTCACCCTGATGAAGAAGGGGCCACTGGCTTGGGGTCAAGGGCCGCTGTCTGCAGGCATAACTGGGTCTCCACTCAGAGATGCCTTGACCTTGGGACCTCTCCCATGTTCCCATAGCAGGGGCTCCAGATATCCAGTATCCCTTTGGAGCCAAAGGAGTTCTCCCCGGGGCAAGAAGCTCTCTGAACGGGCTCACTGCCAAACCCCTGCAGCTGAAATTCCTGCCAAGGCCAGAGAGGTGCGCAGGGGCAAAACTCTCCTTCACCACTCCTCCTGACCTTTTCTCTGGGTGAGCCTCTGTGGTCAGGACCTAACACCCAACACCTCTATGGCTCCGGGGATACAATTTCATCCTCCACCACAAGAGTGACTTCTCTGGGGCTGCAGCCTCGCAGGTGACCGCTAGGGACACACATGCCCTCCAGGCGGGCTCTTCTGTGGCGGGATCAAGGTACCCTTGAAAGCCTTTCTGCCCATCTCTGTGCCTCATCCAAGGCCTCTACTGTCCAAGAGGCCAAAGAACTGGGGAGTTTTTCTTCTGTCCCTTGTGACCCCACTGGCCTTTATTGCTGTTTCCTTAAGGGAAGGACTTCTGTTTATAATTCTTTGGATATAAAAGGAACTAACAGATTGTATAAGGTTGGGGCTGGGTGGTCAGGGCCAGGGAAGGGGTGTGAGGAAAGAAATCATAAGCTGTGCTCCGGCTTCACAAAGATGACCCGGATCCCACCAAATCTGCCAAAAGCTCAGGAAATCTCCCTGAGCATGGGGCATGAGCTGGACAGGCGAAGGTTGCCAGGATAGAAAGTGCCTTTGCTTCTCCCAGGTTCTCGGTGAATGAGCAAAGGAGGTCTTCTGCCCTCCCGGACTGCCCAGAGAGGCGCATTCCAAGGAAAAGGGCACACAGCCCCTCCTTCTGTCTTAGGGCCCTGATGTCCTCTACCCAGGCCACCTGTTAACTGTCAGAAAGGTTATTCTGTCCCTGGATGCTACAGGGGATCTGACTTTGTTCCTGGGCTGACCTGTTCTGTAGCGAAGTAGAGGGCAGGTTTGCTAAAGCTACAGAATCGGCCCGAAGTGTCTCTGCTGCCGGCCTTGCTGTCCGCATGGCCCTTTAGCACCTAAGAGGTTCAGGCACAGTGACAGAAAGTAAGTTATAGCAAATGGGAGGAGGGAGGAAGGAAGGAGATAGGTTTTTGTTTGCTTCCTACTGGCCGGAAATAGGCTGGGGGAGGGGAAGAGACTGACCCTGGAAGATTGAGGGGGGCAGAGAGATTAGGGGAAAAGTCAAGGCAAGTCCTTGAGGGCGCCCTCTGCCCAGATTCCCCTAAAGGCACAACATGCAAGCCTTTCCCTTTCTATGGCTTCTGAGAAGAGAAAGAAGAGGCAGGTGGGTGAGGCAGGGGGACGGGAGAATAAAGGGGAGACACGGTCTAGTCCAGGAAAGGGGTCCCACAGTCCGGCCCTGGAAGACAATTCCTGAGAAGGGGAGTCAAGGCCTGGGGAACAGGCTCCCACATCTGAGCTGCTGGGAGGAGGCATGGTGGGAGTGAGAGGGTCCGCGAGGCCACAGCTGGAGGGAAAGCTGCTTTCTGGTGCGCAGGGGCCACGCAGCCGGCTTCCTGCCACCAGGACATGGCCTGCGACTCACTGTCCCGACTCTGCCGTCCGACTCACGAGCAGGCTGCCCACCTTGGGCCTGGCTGCACCTGGCCCAGGAGAATGCTAGGAGGGGATAGGGAAGCAGTCCTGACTCGGGGACGCTGCTCTGTAGAGGCTCCTGCCTCAGGTACTGGGATCCCAGGAGCGACTCCATCCTGGGTTTGGAGGGGGCTCGTCTTACACCTGCGCCCTGCCCCGGCTGCCCGAGGCCTCGCCCAGGGTCCGGGCTGCTGGGAGGTCCTCGGGCAGAACAGCCAGTTTTGCATCCGGGAGCAGTGCTCCTAGCCCAAGGCGGAGCATGGCCCCCCCGCTGCCCCCCGTGGAGGAGTTGCCCTGGGGGGGTGCCTGGAGCCCTCAGCCGAAAGCACTTTCACTCCTGGGGCCGCCCCAGGGCTTCTCGGTCTCTGGAGGGCCGGGCAGGTCCTGCCAGAAGTGGGTGCCCTCAGGTCTGGCACCTGCCGGAGGAGGCCGGAGACGGGACCCGGGTCCTGCTCACACTGCCGTTTCCCGCTCTCTGTGAACTTCCTCCTTCTTCCTCTTCATCTTGCAGAAGCCGTGGAGGCCACAGAAGCAGGCGAAAGTGAACTGGGGCATGCCCTAGGCCAGGCTGGGGGGATCCTCACCAGAGAAGATCTGCAGGGAGAGGCAGGGGAGGAAGAGGGGCAGGAGGAAGGCAGGAGAGAGAAGCAAGCTGGGGTTAACGTTCCCAGAGCCCTCCGGGGCTGGCCAGTCACTGGCACTCCCTGAGTGGCAAAGCCCTGCCAAACCTCTCACAGGCCCGGGGAAGGGGGGGTGGCGGCACCGGACAACAGCCTCTGTGAAAGCCGAGTGTCCTGATCTCTGGGGAGCTGATGTCATTCCTCCAGTTGGAGCCTGGGTGAGTCCAGGGCAGGGAAGAGAAAGCCACAGCCCCTGCTACCTCTGTCCCCCTCCTGCCCCCTCTGCCTCACCTCACTGCCGCACACCTGTGCTTGGGCGACAGGAAGCAAGCGGCTCAAAGTAAGCTCTGTGCCACCTGACGTGGGTTAGGGGTGGGGGTTTCCACTCGCCCCTTTAGGTCACACAGTCCAGTGATCCCAAGGCGGGACTTTATGGGCCTGCGTCCAACACAGCCTTGACCTTGACACCTGGAACTGAGTCATGGGCGGGGAGTGGAGGGAGGGGGCCCTTCCCTAGCAGGCCCAGTTTATCTGATACCCTTAAGGAAATCTACAGAAAACAGAATGGACTTTGCTCAGAGCAACATAAACCCCGGTCCTCCTCATGCAGAGAACAGACAGCAGAGTTCTTTCAACCAACAGGCTATTTTATTGAGCACCTATGCTGGGCAAAGAGGTTGGGAGGTAAAGGTAAAGACAGAGTTTCTTCCCTGGCACAAAAGTCAGTCTGAGATAGAAGCTGAGGCTGGATTTGCCCCAGCTGGGCATGTTATCCCCCCCCTGGCTCACACAGCACTCAGCCCTGAAGGCAGGGCCGCCTGTGGTAGCTGGGGCGCTCTGGCTGAGGGTGGGAGGGGGTTTCAGGGGATCGGCACTCAGTCTGCAGGTCCCTCCGGCTCACTTCTCCGCCCTGGCCTGCCCTGGAGGGGGCACACATATAATCAAGCCTGCTCCAGCAGAGCAGCTGGGCCCAAAGGGAGCACCTTGCATGGAGGTCAGGCCCACATCAGAGGCCTGCTTTGAATCACTTCTCCCTCTAGAAAGAAGACGGGGGATGCAGCCCAAATGCTGAGAGGAAGGAGGGAGGTGCATGGTGATGCTGAAGTCTGGAATAAGGAAGCATGAGGCCTAACCGTGGCCCAGACTCTCGGGCCGAGAGATTGCATCAGATGGCCCAGGCCCCAAGGCCCCAAACGCTAACCACACCTGCAAGTGTTCCACTGTGTTTGAGGAACCTGGCCAGCCCCAGGTGCTGGCTCTCTGGACAGTTCCACAGGTCTGGCCAACCTTGCTCCTTTGGACAAACGTCATGTTTCTCCAGGCAGAGCAGAGGGCCCAGCAGGCAGGCCCTCATCAAACACAGGGTCTACAGTGGAGCCAGGTCCGGTCAGGATCCTCCCCTCCCATCCCCTCCAAGGGTCCTGCTAATGTAGCTAGTGACTAATTAATAGGTGTGTTGCATTTCCAGCGGCCAGCTGGGTGGGCAGGAGGCCCAGCTTGAGTCAGCATGGGTAGGTAGACTGGTTATTTAATCACCCACTTTCCAGCATCCTCCACACACCCACTCTCCTGGAGTATATATAGAGAGCAGAGAGCAATCTCCAGGATATATATAGACAGAGCCGAGACACAACTACTATATTTCTAGATCCCTCCTGTGACAAACCTAGAGAGATAGGGATCTAAACTGGGGCTTCAATGGCCTGGGTTCTATTCTTGGCTCTGACGCTGGCATGCTGTGTCACCCTGGCAAGTGGCTGTCCCTCCCTGGGCTTTCATTTCCTCATTTCAGTGTACCAAGATGTGAATCAAGGTTTAATGGCCTCCAAACCTAAGGGGCTGGCAGGGCACTGGGGATCCTCATCTGCTCAGGAAGGAGGGAGGGAGAACAGGTAGATTTCCTTGTAATTAGTAATTGTAACACCTACACTTTCCTGGCTAGGGGGATGTCTATCAAGGGTACTATCAACAAAGCATTTCCAAGATTACAGGAGAAAGACGTGGGGAGAAATCGGTAGGCACAACAAAGCTGATCTGGGGAAGGAAGTTATAATTAAAACAAGCCAGGCAAGGAGCTCTGACCATGACCCTCCCACCCCAAGCCTGGGTCTAGGTGCAGCTTGGGGTCTCTGGTCCCCCAGGTGCATAGATCCTCTTCCCTCTCCACCCTACTTCCCCTCCAATGTCTGCTTGTTCTACAAAAACAGCAAAACTTACCCCCTGTGACTGTTCCTCCCTGAGGCCCTTTGGGAAAGATGAGAAAATCTGGGTTTTGCTCACTGTGGAAAGTTTGGGGGCAGAGGTTGGAGGCACCAGGACCTACACATCAGAGTTTCAGGAGGGTTGAATCAAACTGCTCAAGAGTTAGGGATGCCTGGGTGGCTCAGTCGGTTAAGCGTCTGCCTTTGGTTCAGGTCATGATCCCAGGGTCCTGGGATCGAGTCCCACATTGGGCTCCCTGCTCAGTGAGGGGCCTGCTTCTCCCTCTGCCTGCCACTCCCCTTGCTTGTGCTTTCCCTCTCTGACAAATAAATAAATACAATCTTTAAAATAAATAAATTAATTAATAAACGGATCAAGAGCTAGGCTAGAAGCTACAACCTGGCTCCTGAGAGCTGTCCTAGGAGCGGACTGTCTCACAGAGATTCTGGGTCCTTGCTCCTCGGGCAGAGTGTGTAATGAGAGTCTGCTTATTGTGCTCAGGTCGCTGATATAAAGTGTTTTTGTTGCCCCCCCGCCCCTTCCCTACCAAGATCTGGAAGCAGTGTGGGCCCTGGGCATGATGCAGGTCCCTGGAACGGCCCCTGAAGTGGAGAGCTGTGGAGCAGAGAAGCCCTTCCCATTTCAGTGTCCCTCCTGCCCTGGGTCCCACGCATCCTTCAGCATCCGTCTGCCAGAGCTGTGTGTCTGCATCTCTGCGTTGCCCCCTCTGCCTTCATCCCTTCATGCTTTGCAGAGTGTTCCAGCACCAACTGGAGGGCTCCCTGAAGTCAGGTCCTGGTGAACCTCCTCTTGCTAGGTCTACTTGAGGAGAAAGGAGTTTGAAATGACGGCGTCCAGAGTTTGCACGAAACAAGTGGACCAGTGGCTGGAGGCAGCTCCCACTTATCTGTGTTCATGATGGAAACTTCCCCTCCCACCCTGCAGCTTCCCCTCGGACCTCAGCTTTCATGCCTCCAGCCCAGGAGGGGCTAAGGGATAGAAAGATGGGCCCCATAAACTCAGAACAGGAAGGAAAGGAAGGTGGACACTGGACAGAGCCCTGCTGGCTCACAGTTAGCTGCATCTGACTGCAAGCTGGTGGCCCAGATTTCTTCCCCGTCCTCCTCTGGCCTTTCCCCAGCTCAGGGCAGAGATGATCTGGGGTACGGGGGTGAGAAAGATCCTCCCCTTGGCCAGCTTTGTGGGAGCCCAAGCAGAAGAGCTGCCAACCCACGGCTCATCATCGCCCAAACACCAGGGGGTTCCCGGCCTCTCTGTTGACCCCTTCCCCTGGCCCTCAACCCCGCTTCTCCTCTCTATACCAGATACCCTCCCAGGGCCCCCCAGCCCTGGCACCTCCAGCCAAAATGGGGCAGTGGGTCAGAGACCGCTTGAACACATGGAGGGATCAAGAGGAATTGGGTCTCAGAGCGGGCTAGAAACTAAGAGAGCGGACAGCCAGGGCTCCACACTGGCAGACCAGGAACTCCTGGGTGCCTCCAATTTTGGCGGTGTTCTCCATCAAAGTGGATGGCAGTGGGGGGCTGGAAGGGGGGGGAGATATTTACAAGTGTTGGGACTTGCCTGGAATCCTCTGACAAACAAAAAAGGGGGTATTTTCCTTCCCACCCCCATCCCCTCACCTCCCAAAGCTGAAGCAGAGTAGCTTCCAACGAGGCGCCCCCCCTAGCCTCACTCTGCCCCACCCCCACCCCAGGTAAAGGGCAAAAGAGAAGTGACCCAGTGAGGAGGAGCGCCTCACTCCTCCAGAACAATGCTGAGCCCTCAGCCCCCTCCCCAGCTCCCCTTAGCCCCGCGCCTCAGTAATTAAAATATGAATTCACCTTCCCTCCCCGAGCCATTCATCACTGCGAAGGGAAGCAGCTGCGGCTTGGTTGACCGGATTTGGGGGATTAGCTCGGGCGGTGGAGCAGACACACCAGGAGAAAGAATTAAAAAGGAAGGGGGTGAATTGGGTTTTCTCTCCCCACCTCCTCCCTCTCCCTCCTGCTGCCACCGAGCCTCACACCCCACCCCTTCCCCAAAGCCTGGCCTCTGCAGGTTTCTGGGAACTGTAGTCCCCAGGACTGTGTTGATAAACAGGCAGGCCAGGGTGGGTGGTGACACAAACTACAGATCCCAGGACTTCTTCCCAGAGTTGGCAGCCGCAGGGCTGGGCACAGGACTCCAGTCTGGGAGTAGCCCTCATTCTCCTTGGAGATTAACTCCTTCTTGGACTGCTGGAGACTGACTTCCAGCCTCTGGCTTACTGAGCTCCTTGGACTCTGGAGCCAAGGTCCTCTCGGCCTCTGATGCTTCCAGGCCAGCCCCCACTCATTTCTTGCTTGCCCACCTACAGAGAAAGAGGGGAGGCTCCTCCTACCTCTCAAGACTACAAGGACAAACAGGCATTTAGCAGTGGTTCTGAGGGACTCAGGGGCCCCAGGAACTGGAAGGGTCAGACCAGGAACAGTCTTGAAGTATCTTGAAGCCCTGACCTCCAGGGCCTTCCAGGAGGCCCACCGCTTGGCAGAGGCCGGCCCACCTTAATGGTCATCCTAAGCATAACCTAGCATCGTCAGCCTGACATGCAGCAAGAGCTGGGAACACAGTGGTCCTGACTGTCGGGGCCAGAAGGGCTCCCAGAGGTCAAACCTTAGTGCCATCCCCTTCTAACAATGGGGCAGAGATTTTTTTTTTTTTTTTTGAATAGTCTTTGCATTTGCAAGGAGC